AGGCTCAATAATGAATGAAGAAAAAAATGTAAAAACAAGATCTACAGGGAGTAAGCGTAAAAGTCAGCAGGAGAATCTGATTACCAGATTAATTTGGCAGTCTTAAAGTTTGCCATGTGAGTTAATGTTTCACTATCTCAGACTCTAGCAAAGGACTCAATGTGTTCCTATAGGTCTAAGACGTGAACAGATGTGGCAGGTAGTTTTCTGTGGAGAATTATTCTATAGAAACTTCAGCAATTCCCACTCTCAAGCTTTTCTCAGTCCCAGACAGTTAGTTCGACAGCTCACTCTTTTATTTCATTGTTCTCAATTCTTACTGATAATCACAAATCATTTAACTATCATAATAGTGATCATTTTTCCAATCACTTATTCATGTCATCTTACCTTCTATTATTTTACCTTCCTTACTAACACAAATATTTTTTTCTAATTATTTTAGTAACAGTGCATGTGTGTACACCAGAGAGAGAGAGCGAGAGAAAGAGAGAGAAAGGAGAACGGGACCAGCAGATGGCACAATGGTTATGTCACTGGATTCCCAAGTAGTCAACCATGGTTCAGGTCCCAGACCTGACGGCGTAAAACTCACTACAGGCGTGTGTGCATGTGTGCCCAAAATCCTAACAGGAAAATGGAGGAAAAGGGGTTGCAGTGTGGCCATCCCCTCAGGGGCTGATTTCTCGCTTTGTCTCTCTGTTTCTCAGGCGAGAGCACACACCCTATTGCAATAAAATCTTTCAAAAAATAAAAAAAAAATTTTAAAAAGGAAGGAGAAAAGCACACCCCAATGGGGCAGGATCATGCCAATCTTTTTCTTTCATTTCTCCGTGCTGTCAAGATTTTGAACACACATGTGCATGTACCTGGCATACTTTTCAAGCCACTGGGGCCAGTATTTCGACCACAATAAGTCATGTGGGATCCACCTCCCTATGCAATGTGCTACAGTGTTGGCCTTTTAATATAGATCTATATATAGATACATATTTCAGTTTATTTCTTTCTTAAGTGAGAGACAGAGAGACATCATCCCCAATAGGTCTTGATGCCATGATTCACCCCCAGTTTCTGCTGGTCTCCAATCATGAGCACACACATGCCTACATACTCAAGGTTTCTAGACACAAATCAAGAAACTTCTCATGTGGGTCAACCTAATAGAGCAAAGCACATTACCACTGAGCCTGTCTAGCTCCAAATGTTTTTTAACTTAGACTTCTGCAAAGTTATTATTAACTGTAGAACAGTTTGCTTTATAAATGCCTACTTTTGTCAAAATTAATTAAGCCCAGAACCCTTTAACTAATCTTCATTAAAATATGTTCAATTCTGGGCCAGCCGGTAGGTATGATGGTTAAGGTGGCTGGATCCCACATGGCCAACTATGCAGTCTGAATCCTAGACCTGGCAGTGTGAAAAACACACTTGGCATGTGTGCATACATGCCCAAAATCTCAAGAGGAGAATGGAGAAGGGATTGTAGTCTGGCCATCCCTCCCCGGGGTGCTTTCTTACTTTCTCTGTCTCTGATGAGTGCATGAGCCCTATAATAAATTAAAAATAGATCAATATGTTCAATTCTAAACCTCTTATTTATTCTCAAAATATGAAGCTCTGCAAAGCTCGGTAATTATTTCTTTGTTTGCTGAATGTTTATATGAACTAGTTAGGTGGGTTAATTAGAACATGTTGTTGATGACTACAGACTTACTCTCTCTATAGGCCTGTTAGCTTCATTTCACATAAGCTATGTTCTTTTTTTTTTTTTTTAAAGAATTGTTTTAACTTAACTAATTTATTTAAATTTGACCAGAGAGGGATAGAATGAGAAAGGGAAGTGACAAACCAAGCCTCCAGACCCAGGATTTGAAATGCAGTCAGCCACGTGGGAGTCCAGAACCCTTAACCTGCGCGCCACCTGCTGGCCCTGCACATAAGCTATGTTCTAAAACCAAAGGCTATCTCTATCAAATCCCATCAGTTACTTCTTAGATCCAAATTCAACCAGGTAAGACACGGCATAGTCACAATACAGACACTCCCTCACTATAACCCATACAGTGATACATCAGGTATGTCATGTTAACAACAGGCACTACATTATCTTTTATTTTGTCTTAATTAGAGGGAGAGATAACAAGAGCATGGTGGGGAGGGATAGATTTTCTGTTTGTTTTAACATGGTCTTGCTATACTGTGATCCTTCCTACCCTAGTTTCCCAGTCAGCTAAAACCTTGGGCACGCTACCTCTGGCCCATTTAGGTTAGGCCAGGAACCAAACCCAGGCCTCCCATGTGGCCTCAACCATCACGTACCTGCATCATTTGTGCCACTATGGTGGCTGGGCCTAGATGATTTACTTCTGATATATACTGTGAATTGTTTTAAAAGTGTACTCTCTGTAAGTGATAAGCTGCTAACTCGTATTCAATTTACAGTCCATTTACATAGTACTTACATTATTAGTCACCAAGTATACTAACAAACAGAATCCACTTAAAGATAAATCCCATTATCAAGATCATTTGCAAATTATATTTCTGCCTTTCAAACTTTTGGAAGTTAAAATCACTTTGTTGTTGTTCACAAGCATAAAGTTCTATTTCCACCATTACCCAACTACTGAGAAAAAATACAGAACAAAGATCAAGCTCCACAGAATGACCCCTTATTCCTGTGCATTTTCATTCTGAGTTAAATAGGTTGTATGTCTACAGTGATATCCAGAACATATCTGCTAAGGTTACTACTTATCATAGGAAGAAGGCATTCATATTTTAAAACTTCACGTTCACAGTGGTTACAAAAATCACCATGCTATATAAAAGCACACCTTTCTTGATTCAGTATATGTTATGGAAGAATAGGAACTATCTATTTGCGCCAGAAAGAGTACTTGTTTCTACATATGTTCTCGGTTAATCCTCAAAACTGTGGTCGATATTAGCATTCTTTGTTAAGAAAAAAGGTATCAGTGAAGTTAAGCAATTTACCATATAAAGGACTTTGAAGACAGCCAGAATTCTAGCTCTATGTTACTGTATGTGACAGAAGTTTCTATCTCTAAGTTTACCAGTTAACAGTATGTGACTGAGCAACTTCACATAGCTAAACCTCGATTTCTTCTTCTGTAAATGGGTTTAAGTGAGATAATTCATATTACATGTTTAATTCAGAGCCTAGTACACAATAAGCTCACATGATAACTATTAGCATTGGTCAAAAGTCAAACTAGTTAAAATCGGAAAGCAGACTCAGGTATGATTCCCAAGTCCATGCTCACTTCACTACAACATGCTGTAGCTGCCAATACATTTAGTCATATAAAAATCCATACCTGAAATAGGACACAAATGGGAAACTGATATTCTCTAAATGAAGTAACTATTAAGAGCTAACTAAACCTGCAGAAGTGTTTTAGCTCTAATATTGATAAGCAGAACCAAGCAGACAACTCATCAGAAAATCCTTTTTAGACATTTAGGCATACAGAGTATAATTCTAATTACTGTAAACTAGTTTCCTACCTATGTAGGAATTCATCCTATTTATCTCAAGCCAGTTGTAAACTAAAATTCTACTTACTAGAGGTTCCCATAAAAAAGCTTACTTGTTGGTCAGGGCAAAGAAACCAGCCCTTCTACAATATGATTTGAACACTGCATCAATTTGAAGTTTGTCAGATTTATCTGCTTTGTACTACTTATAAATTAAAGCAACCAGTATCACTTTCCTACCCAATCCTCTCACCCTAAACAGGCATTATTGTTCTAACAATGTTTAAAAATCTCACTTACCTAGTTCACCCTCAAACTGATGTAATGGTGGATAAGGTAGACAAAGGATAGTAGCAGAAATTATACTCTACAACAATAAATGTTTACTATTTCAGACAACTTCCAGGAACTTTTCTGACTTAAAAATGAGTTGCTGGGGGACCAGCAGTTAGCGTAATGGCTATGTTGCTGGACTCCCATGTAGTCGACCATAGTTTGAGCCCCGGACCCGGTGGCTTAAATTCACGCAAGGCGCATGTGTGTGCGTGCCCAAGATCCCGAGAGGAGAATGGAGGAGAAGGGATTGCAGTGTGGCCAAACCCCCTGGGGAGTGATTTCTTGCTTTCTGTCTCTGTCTCTCTCTGTCTTTCTGGCATGCACACACGCCTTATAGCAAAAAAAAAAAAAAAAAAAAAAAAAAAAAAAAAGAGCGGCTGGC